AAAAAACTCTCTCGATATTATTTTAAGTGTTATTATTGTGTTTGAATGATGTTGTTGTGAATGAAAGAGAAAAACGAAGATGTATTTATAACAAAATTTTGAACTTTAAGACGCTTTTACGACGGTTTTTTACATCGAATTTACATCGACACTCTATGTTTACGACGATTTTACGTCGATTAGACGACAAAATATTTCAATGACCTTAGGTAGGTGAACATGTTTAAAATGTTCGTCACCTACATTTTATGTCGATGTAAAACCGTCGTAACCTTACATCAGAAAAGGTATGACGTAAAAACATCATAAATTTACATCGTTTTTACGACGATTTTGCATGAACCATAAAATCTCACTTAAAACAATGTAAAATCGTCGTAAAGTGTCGTAAATATAACGACGAATATACGACGGTAAAAATTTATGATGCTTTTATGACGTTTAGTAATTTCGTCGTAAAACCGTCGTAATATTGCGACAATTTTTAAAATGTCGTAATAGACCGTTGAAAATCGATTGTTTTCTTGTTATGTATTAATATTTTATTGTAGAGATATTCAGATGAGGTTCTTAACCGATAGAAGTTCTTATACAATTTTATACAGTAAACAGTTGACTTTTTTCAACGTGATTTAGATTACTAAGACTGTGTACATTGGTTTTAATATTCAAAACCATACTATTTTTTCTTTTATTACTCTACATCATATTTTCTCTTTTCCAGCTAATAATTCAACATTCACTCAATTGTTAAAATCTACAATGGTTTTATTTAATAAAACTCAACATTCTACCCTATCACTTAAATAATTTAACTTTCAATATATTTCTTAGAAAAATATTTTTTTTCTGTATCACTTAGATATTTTTTTTATTAATAGAGTATTAAAATATAATAAATTTTGATATAAAATTTTTGTTTTAAAAAATAATTTACTATAAAATAGTTGAATCTCAGATAACTATGATGAGATAAAAAAATATAAAAATAGTCTTTTTTCGTATAAATAATTGGTCCATGTGGCGTTGTGCTCCCACCACTCTTATTTTTCAATATGTTGAATTTATTTAACACCAAAATAGTTGAATCTTAAGTAACTATGATGAGATAAAAATATAAAAAATAATGTTTCTTGATGTAGATATAATTGGTCTATGTGGCGTTGTACCCCACCACTGTTATCTTTAAATATGTTGAATTTATTCAACATTAAATAATCCACATCAGATTCAACACTTTCTTCCACACATCCATTAAATCATTCAACAGTTGAATATGTTTTTAACACTTTCATTATAAGCAGTCTAACTATGAGTCTGTTCGGTTTATAACTGCTGCGTCTATATTGTGTGACAAGAAAAAAAGACGTTGATGAAACTAAATATTACAATGGAATAATGTCGGACTGCTGAAATTAACCGTTGAGAGGAGTCGCAGCTGCCGCCAAAATTTTCAGCGTCCATTTCTTATCGTTGCATCTCTTATTATTAACACCGGAAAAATACTGCTCTCCACAACCTTTCGTTCCAAACAACAAAAATATAATGTTTTTTTTCGTGTCGCTGACGTTGGCTGCAGCGGTCATGCGCCGAACAGTCCCTATAAAAGCAGTGACATATACTTTTTCAAACAGCTAGATACTCATACGATACGTTCATTGATGTGGATCCTAAAATCCACACTCAAGAGTTTAGGGCAAAAATTCTGGTAAAAGCGATGTAAAGTAAAAGACTAAGATCGACGAATTTGGATTGTATTGATGAGATTATAAGTTTACAAGAATGTTTCTAGCTAAAAATCGGATGCCCTTTTTACATAGAAGCGATATCCTATTTATACTAAGTAGACTGACTCAAACTACTTCGGGATTTGCGGGATGTTGCGATCTCCAACTCTCCGAGATCTTTGGGATTTCCTCTTATCCATGATTCCTCGTCCTCATAGCTCGTCACGTCCTATCGAATTTATCATTCCAAGATCCTTTTTTCTTTCGTTATGGGCCTTGAAGTCCAAAAAGAATGTTATGATAATTCGTTCGAAGTATGGGTCGGATTTGTGCTAAATTCAACACCAACAATTAACTATCTTGCGTTGGTTAAAAAAGACATTTATATGGTGCAAAATTGACCACCCAATTTTTTTTTCTTTCTTTAAACCGTTAGAGCTTCTTTTTGTGGCCAAGCAATTCAACTGAGTTATTTATTTTGTGGCACATGTGTTCTTTAGTCAGGGATCATAACAAATTAATACTTTTTTCAAGTAGTCTCCTTCTACTGTTAGGACTAGAATTCGGGAATTGATGCATATAACATACACGTATACTCTCGCTAAAACCATTTGTGTTTTAAGATTAAAAAAAAATAAACAGCAAAACTCTTGCTAAAACCATAAAATACGCATGATATATATTTGTTTGTGTCAGTTTTGTCAGGAGCCCGTCGATAGGACAGAAACTGTCCAGCCATGAGATAGGTTATGTTAAGCTGATTTGACATGCTAATGCAGATATTTAAAAACTTCAGAATTAAGATTTGATGAACCTTAAATTTTGAGGTTCTAATAAGATCATCTCAAAACCATTTCTATTTTCAGACTAAAACACCATTTGTTATCTATCTAACCATAATTCAACCAATGATAAAATTATCTGCAGAATAAAATATCAAAACAGTAAAAACATTAATTAATTTTGCATGGAAACAATATTGTTTTCTCCAAAAATATCATATTATTTGAAACAATATTTTTTTTTCAAATACATCACTTATTGTATAACGGAGTGAGGGAGTATAAAAGTTTTATTTTTACGATCTTACTTAATTATGATCAATAATAAAGGCTATAATGAAAAAGTTAAGTTTTTGAAATTTTATTATTAGGGAGAAATATCCTTAAACCATAAAGTTAAAGTTTAGCATACCTCAAAAATAAAATATCTCTGTTCTAAAATCAAGATTTTTTTTTTGACATCAATCAAAGTCAAAATCGTATCAAAATTCATTTTGATTCAATTTTTCGGTCCACGTGAAATAAAAAGGGTTACAACTTAAATTTTTTTGTTACTTTTTTTTTAACAAAGTACTTAATTTTCATTTGCTGAAGCAAAAAGTTACAACTTCAGTTTTGCTAAAGTCCAACAAATGTAATATACGTTGCGTTTGTATGTGTTTGCTTTACTGACATTGCTTGTCCATACTAAAGTCATATATTAATTTTGAAATAAAACTCATGCATTGAAGACAATATAATTGTTACGATTCTATTCTTGAAGCAATTAAAATCAAAGATTTTTCTTTTTGACACTAACTGAAATCAAGGTTGCGTCAATACTTTCATTTTTATTCAAAATTATGGCCCACTTGTAAATCAGGAAGTTACAATCCCCTTTAGTTTTGCTAAAATCTAAGAGATGCAATTAACGTTGAGTTTGTATGTGTTTGCTTGGTTTCTTACAAAAAAGGTTGACAATGTTGGGTTTGTGTCGTATACTTGTCTTCATGCCAGTTGTCTAGTTGATAATAACAAAAAGTAAAAAAAGAAAAAAGAGGAAAATGACAAAAAAAATGGGAGGCAACGAGTGAGAAACTAATAATTGCAGAAGGAAAACAAAAGAAAAAGAGAAGTGAATAATTGCCGAAAGAAAGGGGTAATAATTAAGAAAAACACACACAAAAAAACTGAAAGTAACCCATGTGGTTTTTGTGCACACGTGCAACTCTCTCCTCTCTTATTTTCCTTAATAGATTGTATAATAATTAATTGGAGTATAACTCACTATTTAAGTACTTATGCACCTTAAACACATTTATTAAATTCAAACCATATCAAATTGATTAGCCGTTACCTTTTTGTGGTCAACGAAGAACAAAGTACAACACCCAACTTTTTTTAAAAAAATTTCTGTAAAATTGAATCCGAATAGTGACACTAATAACAAAAGTAATACAAATTAGTAAGTTATATTTCTTGGTCCAATTTCTGCATATATTATCTTGAATTTTCGATGAAATGTTAATGCTACATAATCAAACGATTTACAACTTATAAGGTCACATATACGTTATTAAAAAATATGCCAAAAATGTATACAAACCAAAAATGGTTTAACGACCCTAATTGCAAAGAATGTGTAGCTCCGCTAGTTAAAATAATAATATTTTTATATTGATAACATCTTTAATAAAAATAATGATACGTTAAAATATAGATACTTCGGAAAAAATCAAGGATGTGATTATAAATCATAAGTTGCAAAAAAGTGATTATATATCATGTTTTTAGTTTATTTTTTATAGCTTATAAACATATAATAATATCAAAACAATACTAATCATACAAAGCACCACATTACTTACAAAAAGATTCAAACTGATGAAAAAGACTATATACTTTAATTTAATAAATTAACCTATTCTTAACATATTGAAAACAAATCTGATTCTTTTCATTTTAAATTACTAAGTCTGTTGTTGACAAAATAAATACCGAGTTTCAGAATATATTTCCTATGTCCACTTCACTATGAATATAATTTCAATTTTATTTAAAATTTGAAAAGTTTTGTTTTTGGTCCTTATATATATATTCGGCATGGGACCATATTTAACTAATTAAGTTTTAGAAATGAATCTTTCTGCAACTATCGATATCACATCATTTGAATTTAATCGTATATATAGATTTAAATTGGTTAGAGAAAAGAAAACAGTTAGAAGATATATTAAGCAAACACGGAGGCATAAACATTGGGAGAATCTTGAATTTTGGGTTAATTAAGGAAACAAAACTATTGAAATTGGGTTTAATGTTTATACTACTACAGTGGTTTTAGCAACTTAGCTGAAGACAAATCAATTTTTCTATTAGAATATAAATTACCTTTCTAGCTGAGAGAATACAAATAAGTGAAAAATCGAATTTATTTATACACAAATTCTCTTCTTTTCCTTCTTCTTTTCTTCTTCTTCTTCTTCTTCTTCTTCTTCTTCTTCTTCTTCTTCTTCTTCTTCTTCTTCTTCTTCTTCTTCTTCTTCTTCTTCGTCTCTGACAAAGTTATGGGCGAACAGCAAATCTCAGCTTCAGTGCCGCGTGACAGAACCGACGAACAGGTTTTGATGAATGTTGATCAATTCTGATTTCTTCTCTGCTTTATCTCTTACTTTTAAATTTCTTTTTCTCTTTTTCTAAATTTGAATCTTCTCTTCTTCTTAATGATTCTTGTTTCCCACCTTTTTCCACAATTTTTTGGTTACAGAAATTAAATGATTGATGCATTTTCTCCATTTTTATCTCTCTCGAGAGATTACTGTTCACACTCTGTGTTCATTCCATTACCAGTTCTCTGTCTTCAGATATTTTGTTTTCTGGAACACATTAGAATCACTACTCAAGATCTCATAACTCTGTTCATAATTAAATTCAAACTATTTTAGAGATCTGTTCAGAATTCGAGGTCTTTATGAATTTTGGTATAATGATTGAATTGTTTTGTTGCAGGCTATCTTGGCTTTGAAGAAAGGTGCACAACTTCTGAAATGTCGGAGAAGAGGAAACCCAAAGTTCTGTCCTTTCAAACTCTCCATGGTAGATTCCTTTGATTTTTTAATAAAATACCTCCAAATGTGGAAAACAAAGACAGAGAGATTGAGATCATTAAAGGGTTTTGGTAAAGTTGTGTTCTTTTTCTCTTTGAAGGATGAGAAGTATCTGATTTGGTACTCAGGACAAGAAGAGAGACAATTGAGATTGAGCTCGGTTATAACGATTGTTCGAGGACAGATCACGGTATGTAGCAAATAAACCTTTTCTTTGATCATTCCAGATTGAAGCTGATGATGAAATGTAATTTTCCTTCTTGTTCTTAGCCAAACTTTCAGAAACAAGCTCAACCAGATCGAAAGGAGCAGTCTTTTTCACTCATATATGCAAATGGAGAACACACTCTTGATCTTGTAAGTTCGGTTATGTTTGACATTTAACAAAATCAGGACTTTTCTATTTATTGAAAAGGTTTTGTTGGTGATGTAGATATGCAAGGATAAAGCACAAGCAGACTCTTGGTTTAAAGGTCTTAGAGCAGTGATAACGAAGCACCACAATGCTAGATCTTCTGCGAATCTAAGGACGAGCAGGGGAGCTCAAAGTTGCATCAATAGTCCTGCTGGTTTTATACGCAGGAAACAGAATCTTGGACTTCTTGAAGAGACCCCTGACTTCACTCAGGTAACTAAAAACTAAAAACTCTTTTCTTGCCTTGATCTTGTTTCACCATTCCAATTCTTGATGTGTATTGTTATGTTCTTGAAGATACGCAGTTTATGTGGAAGTCCATCTACATTACTTGAGGAACGTTGTTTATCGAATGGTTTGTCATGTTCTTCCGACAGTTTTTACTCCGTTGAATCAGCTGCTTCTGATGGCTTTGGTCCAGTTTCTCCCCACTATGAAACAGATTATAGTCTGAGGAACTCAGATTGTGACCGAATAGGTTCACAGAGGTTTGTTGCTTCTCCTCCTCCTAGTATCATAACTCAAACGACTACAAGATCAAATGTCCTCAAGGACATAATGATTTGGGGAGCTACAACGGGTCTTCTTGAAGGATCAAAGAATCAAAACGATGCGTTATCTCCTCAGCTTTTAGAATCTGCCACCATGTTTGATGTACAAAGTATATCTTTAGGTGCAAAACACGCTGCTCTGGTTACAAGACAAGGAGAAGTGTTCTGTTGGGGAAATGGAAACAGCGGTAAGCTTGGACTTAAAGTTAACATTGACATCGACCATCCAAAACGAGTTGAGTCACTAGAAGGTGTTGCGGTTGGATCAGTGGCTTGTAGTGATCATCAAACATGCGCTGTTACAGAATCCGGAGAGCTGTATCTGTGGGGAATCGACGGTGGAACCATTGGAGAATCAGGAAGACAATTCTTAACTAGGAAAATATCCGATCTTTTTAGCGGTTATTTGAGTGTTTCTAGCGTCGCTTGTGGCGCGTGGCACACGGCGATTGTGACTAGTTCCGGTCAGCTTTTCACTTATGGTAGTGGAACCTTTGGAGTTCTTGGACATGGGAGCCTTGAGAATGTTACAAAACCGAAAGAAGTTGAGTCTTTGAAGCGAATGAAGGTAATATCCGTCTCTTGTGGACCGTGGCACACGGCTGCAATAGTGGAAACTGCTATCGACCGGAAATATTACAATGCTAAGAGCTCCGGGAAGTTGTTTACTTGGGGAGATGGAGATAAAGGACGGTTAGGACATACAGATAGCAAGAGAAAGCTCTTGCCAACTTGTGTCTCCGAGCTAGCTGACCATGACTTTATTAAAGTCTCTTGTGGATGGACTTTAACGGTTGCACTCAGCGTTCGTGGAACGGTTTATACAATGGGAAGCTCAATCCACGGACAGTTGGGATGTCCACGGGCAAAGGATAAGTCGATAAATGTTGTTTTAGGCAATCTTACAAGACAGTTTGTTAAAGAGATTGCTTCTGGTTCACATCATGTAGCAGTGTTAACTTCGTTTGGAAATGTTTATACTTGGGGAAAAGGCGTAAACGGACAGCTTGGGTTAGGTGACGTTAGAGATAGAAACTTACCGGTTCTTGTTGAGTCTTTAGGGGATAGATTGGTAGAGAGTATAGCTTGCGGGTTGAATTTGACGGCTGCGATCTGTTTGCATAAAGAGATCTCTTTGACTGATCAAACCGCTTGTAGTTCTTGCAAATCGGTTTTTGGATTCACGAGGAAGAAGCATAACTGTTACAACTGTGGTCTCTTGTTCTGTAACGCATGTAGTAGCAAGAAAGCTGTCAATGCTTCTTTGGCACCAAACAAAAGCAAGCTTTCTCGAGTTTGTGATTCTTGCTATGATCATCTATGGAGAATAACAGAGTTTTCAAACAATGTTAAGATGGAGAAGAATCTTACTCCAAAGATGCAGTTGGTTACACGAAGGGTATCTGAGGAATGGACAGAAACAGAATCAGAGAATCAGAGGCAGAATCTTCCACAAGCTAATGAACAACCTCGATGGGGACAAGTCTCTGTTCCTTCTCTGTTTCAATTTGATAAAATGTCACTCTCTTTGAGAAGTCCTAGGAATCTATCAGTCTCTTCAAGAAGACCATCTTCTTCAAAGATTTCAACCTCGTCTGAGTCGAATAAGATCTTAATCGAAGAAATCGAAAGGCTAAAAGCCGAGGTAAAGTACTTTATCCTCTGTTTTTGGTATCTATATCATCATATTACATAGTCAAGATTCCATTTTTTTTTTTTTTTGCTGAAACATAATCAAGATTCCATTTTTATGACAATGTAGGTAAGAAATCTCCGGAAGCAGTGTGAACTTGGTAATGATAAGATTGAAGAATGTCAAAGAGAGCTCGCGAAGACATCAGAAGTTGCTAAAGAAGAAGCTGAGAAGTCTAAAGCTGCTAAAGAGATTATAAAAGCTATGGCCTCAAAGGTACAAAGTAAAACAGAGTTTATAATTATACATCTCTCTCTGTTTCTCTGTTCTCTAACTTCTTTTCTTGCAGCTTCAAACGAATAAGGATAAACAGAGTAATCTTAAGACCGGCATTGCGTGTAATCCTTCTCAAGTCTCACCAATCTTTGATGATTCCATGTCCATTCCATATCTTACACCAATCACCACGACTTGTTCACAATCCGAAAACAAACAAGTTGTAGAAAAAAGTGTCACGAAATGCTCGAGCCGTGACAGTAACATTAGGCTATTAGTAGATGCATCGCCTGCTATCACAAGAGCAGGGCTTCTCCTGAACGGAACACAAGAATCAAAAGCAGAACAAGTGGAGCAATACGAGCCTGGTGTATATATAACTTTCACGGCTTTGCCTTGTGGTCAGAAGACGCTTAAACGCGTACGATTTAGGTAAGAATATTAAGTGTGTTTGATATAGTTTATAGCAAGTTTGAAGTATGGTTAAGGGTTAATGTGATTCTTGCTTTTATTTTGGTTGCAGTCGAAAGAGGTTTTCAGAGAAGGAAGCGCAAAAATGGTGGGAGGAGAAGCAAGTTCTGGTCTATAAGAAGTATGATGCTGAAGCATGAACTAACTCTAATCGTATTTTTTTTTTTTTGGGGTCAACAACTCTTGAGTGTAATGCATTTTTGATGTTTATAAGTGATTAATTATAATTCACAAATTGCTTTATCTATCTTCAAATTTCAGCAGAGGTGGAAAGCATATACAAGTGGAATAGCTCTAACTTTATCATATCATTCAGGGGGAAAATTGGCTAATTCAGACCTAAACTTGTGGAAAGTGTTAAAGTTAGGCTTGAACTATTTTTCTAGTTAAAACATACTTAAACCTTATAAAAGTTTGATTTTCATCCGTAATCTATGTGTATTGCGCTTAAATCAATTTCCGTCCATAAATGTTAACGATCCGTTAAATCACGTATACGTGGCATCAACATCAACGACGACGTCGTTTTGGACTTATGAAGTTTAACAAGTAAAATACATAAAGCGATGTCGTTTATATCTTCTTCAACCCTTCGATACTTGACTTATCGACGACTTAGGGATTTAAAAATCAAATTCTTCAGTCTTTGGATTGTTGTTCGAATTCAATGTCTTCTTCTAGCAGTTCGGGTATTAAATATTTTTCCCTCTTATGTGTTTGTTAGTGTATTACGTTGTGAGTAGATTTCTTTTTTTTTTTCATCTGATAACTACCGCCATTGTTTTGTTTGAAGTAATCTCCTTCAAGCGGCACGAGACTGAGCGGGAAAGAGGCATACCATCGAAATGTCGATGTGGTGCCCGAGCTATTATCAGAACTTCGGAGACGTATCAAAATCCGGGGAGACTATTCTACTGTTGTCCGTATAGATCCAAGGAGGTAATGTATAGTCTCTGTTAATTAATTTGTTCTTTAGTTTGATGTCAGTGACCCATATAAATCGAGTCTGTTGTATTGTTGTTAGGATAAAAATCATCTGTTCAAGTGGACAGATGTTTCTATCGTCGAAGAGGTTGAACGCTTTCGACCTGAACTTGAAGCATTGAAAGTAGAAGCCGCTGGATTTGAGAAGGAGATTGGAGAGTTAAAAGCTGATGTCTGTTCCTGCAAAAATGAGATTGAGAAGCTTAATGCAGTCATGAGTTCCATTAAGAATGTGATGGTTAGTGGATTGGTAATGGGTGTGATCGTGTTTTACATTTTCCATTAGGATTATCTGTAGTGTTTTTTGCATTTTCCATAACGATTATGTGTTGTTTTAGTCTTTGGCATTGTCGTGTTTGAGCCACATTTTGTGTATTGATAATGAGAACACAACTCTTTGTCATTATCATGGTTTAGGTTCGACAATGTATTGAACTGTTGTTCAAATTTGTTTCACTATGCAAAATTCTCGTTCTAGAACAAAAAGAAAATCAAAAATCAGAGTAGAAGCAATAACAAGAGTCTCAAAATCCAATCAATATCATTCTCAGAACTAGAGTTTTGAAAGTAAAAGCAATAATATGAGTATCAAAATCCAAAAAACCAACAGAAAAGCCATAAACACTGGCTTTGAAAAGCAATAGAAGAGAATAAGAAAGGTTGTGTCGCGGGATAGAATGTGTTTTCGCCAAGTTAAGGAACAGATGACGTCGTTTTCACGTTTTTTCCAAAAAAATAGAGAGACCTTAAACGACGATGTCACTTACGTGGCCGCCACGTAGACCACGGCTTGACAGAAAACTTAACAGAGTTATGTTGGGAATTGGTTTTAGCACAGAGCATAAAGATGGAGTACGAAATTCAAATTATACCAAAGATTAAAAATGCCTTTCAAATGTTAACAGAGTTCAAGTATGATAAAGCACAGTACGTAATGTTTAAGTATGTTTTAACTAGAAAAATAGTTCAAGTCTAACTTTAACACTTTCCACAAGTTTAGGTCTGAATTAGCCAATTTTCCCATTCACGGTAGGCTTGAGAATTTTTGGTTTTCGGTTCGGTTTGGAGGTCTGAACCGATCGTCAATTTCCAAAATTGGAATTGGTAATCGGTTAGGATCGAACTGATCCATTTCTTTTTTTCTTCAAATTTTCCAAACAGACTTATACCGAATGATACCAAAATTTACCAATATATATATAAAACTCTGAATCAAATTAACCGAATATAACCAAAATTACCGAAAATTTTGGTTAATTTTTGCAAAATTTTAAAAATCCGAACTAACCACATCTACCGTAATGTTTTTCAGTTAATTTTGGTAAGATTTTTAAGAACCGAATTGATCAGAAAACTGAAAATGGATCGGTTCGGTTTGGTTAACCAAATTCCCAAGCCTAATTCACGGTATGGTTTAGGAAAATATAAATGGAATACTCCTACCTTGTGTAACTTAAAGTGCGATTAGTTCAACGTCAAATTTCCATTGGATCACGAGTTAGAAAGCAAACTAGGTAATATCATAACAAACACTCTTGCTAGACTAGAATCCAATCTCTCCTATACATGTTAAAAGAATTAATGTTTAATTGAAGATTGGCATAAAGAAGCTACAGAAAGATGGATTGATGAGAAAGAAAAGCATTGTTTGAAGAGAGTATAAAATTTAACGAGCTTGGACACCAAAAGTAAGATGGCTTTGGCACGCGGCAAACTGACCCCACATTATATCACGACAAGAATTTTGACATGTGCCAAAAGTGGGTCCCACTTGAGATTTATTGGGACCGAGTAACCTACAATATGCGAGTTTGTATCAAGATATAAACTCTACAAAACACCCAAATTGAGATTAAACGGAACCCATGTGGTTTTTAGTTGATGGGAAAAATGTATAGTCAATTCAGATCTGACTATTTAAATGGTAAAATAATATATATATATATATATATTTCTTTTTTAATATTATTTTTATTTTTTTCTTTGCTTTTTTTTTAAAAAAAGATATTTCTAGACGAATTATAAACAAATAATATCGTACATGAGAACCAAAAGAAAAAAATCCAAAAATAAATTACAAAACAAAAACAACAAGAACAAAGTAATAGAAGATAAACCCAGAACGAGAATTACAAATTCAAATCCACACTTTGAATGATTGTATTTTGAGAAAATTCCTAAAAACTGCTCCACACGTTAGATCAATTCACATGATTGTGAATAAAATCTGGTCTCTTGGCGATAGTGGCGGAGCCACATAAAGTATGTTGGGGTCATATGCCCCCGGTAAATTATTAAAAACTGGTGTAACTTATAAAGCAAACTATTAACGCCCCCACTAATAAAATCATACATGTTACATATATGCCCCCAATAAAAAAACTTTCTGTCTCTGCCACTGCTTGGAGATAAAAGTATCAATGTTGATGTTTCTGTCATTAATGAGACAACAGTAAAGTTCCGGATCAAGGACCAAGGAGTAAGAGAAAAGGTATTGCGGAGGTGAATGTGGAATATCAAAGATATCCCCATGATTGTTTCTAAATGGAGCCCGATTGCAGAGGAAGCACAACCAGTGATGAAGTCAATACCCTTATGGGTTATTCTCAAGAACGTACCTCATGTACAATTGGAAGGGATTAAGCTACTTGGCTAGCCCAGTGGGAACGCCAAGGCAATTACATCCTAATACTGTGTGGGTCAAGTAGTTTGATGTTGCTTGGATTTCAGTTGATGTTTATTTGACGAAACCCTTACCAACATCACAGTGTTATGAAATCGAAGAAGTGCAGGTGAAAGTTCTGTACAAATTTCCTTGGTTGCCACCACTTTGTACATTGTGTGGAGGGTGGGGACATGTAGGGACCGAATGCAAAACCCATCCTGGTCAGGTAAAGATTCTACAAAAGACTGTTACGCCGGTGACTACTACTACCAGGGAGGTTGTTGCAGATGCAACAAGCAAACAGGTTGAAAAGTCGGTGGAAAAAGTTGCAGTTGTGCAAGTTGAAAAGGTAATTGAATCTCTGTTTTCTTCTGTTTTGAAGAAGGAAAAGGGTAATGCTAAAAAGGCTCCTACAGGTTCAGTACGGAGATCTCTCTCACTTGGCGTGCAGGCGAATCAGAGTAGTTTTGCAGGAGGCGAAACAGAATGGATTTCTTCAACAAAGACATCTCGCAACCTAAAAGAAAAATCAGTGGAGTCTGAATCGGAATCTCGTTCGTCTGGCTCCCAGTATTTTGCTCTGACAGACAACAATGATGATGATTATGATGATGAGGAAGCAGAGAAAGAGGTCGATGTTGATGAGGGAAAGGAAGATGATGGAAAACTTCAGATTTCTAAAGCAACTGACTCGAGTTTAGAAAATCAGTCGGTGCAACACGAAACGGCTTTACCTGACGCAAGTGTAAAGGCCAACCGAAAAATACTTAAACGAGCTGCTAAGTCAGCTCATCGATTTGTAACTGACCGTCCCCAACAGCGACCAGTAACTCGCAAAACAAGGAGGAAGAACAACCGGGATACAAAAAAAAAACCAATCGCAATGATTGGTATTTTTTGGAATATTTGCGGCTTCAATAAACGATCCAAGCATTCAGTGGTATAAGATTGGGTGCGATGAAATAATTCTTCTTTTGGTTGCATTTTGGAAACTTGAGTGAAGTTGATGAACAGTTTGAAAATTATATCTACAGTTTTTCCGGAGTAGCCGTCTGCATCGAACTATGAATACAACCCGCTAAGGCGGATATGGGTTTTATGGAGGAAGGATATTCAGCTGAAAGTTATTTAAAAAAGCGAGCAGATGATCTCATGTGAAATAGCTTTTGCTGGTCAGGATGAGATTGTTGTTTGCTCTTTTGTATATGCTCTGAACACTGCAGCTGAGCGCAGAACTCTATGGGAGGAGATGAAAGATTTGCATGCTCATACATGTTGCGGTAGGAGATGGATGGTCTGCGGCGACTTCAATGAAGTCCTGGCGAGTGAGGATCATTCAGATGTTATCTCAGGTGCAGCTAATATCAGGGATCTTTGGATTTTCAGGATGCTATTAGCTACTGTAATATGGTTGATATTGGAATTTATGAACCTTGGTTTACTTGGTGTAACAAAAGGCAAGAAGACCTAATCCACAAGAAACTTGATAAGATGCTAATGAATGAGGATTGGCTCGTG